CACACGTGGTCTCTGCGCCTCTCGCGTACGACGTACTATCTCGCGTTCTCCCTCTCCTCGCAGCGCTGTGTCTCTCCGTCATACTACGGCCGGCCTCCACAAGGGAAATTTCAGTGTTTTCTATGGTGCTTTTTGCTTTTTCTCCTTAATGTTCCTTCATCGCACTTCTTGATTAATTTTCGAACAAGATAACACACCAATTTGATTCCACCCCTGCCTTTAAAGCCACTAGGCTTTAAAGCCAGAACTTCCTAGTATGAGAAAGAGCGGAACCCCAAAGGCCGGAGGCACGACACTGTCGCAAAAATACGAGGCAACGGCCGTGCTGCGATCCTCACCAACGACGGCACACGTGGTCTCTGCTCCTCTCGCGTACGACGTACTATCTCGCGTTCTCCCTCTCCTCGCAGCGCTGTGTCTCTCCGTCGTACTACGGCCGGCCTCCTAAGGGAAATTTAGTGTTTTCTATGGTGCTTTTTGCTTTTTCTCCTCCACTAATGTTCCTCATTGCCCTTCCAAAATATCACGCCAACTCGATCCCGACTCGTGCCTTTAATCTCTCATGAACTTTTATTGGCTGACTCACTCAATTCATGCACTTACTTATTTTTTTCAGCAAAATCATTCAATTAGTGGAGCATTTCGACTATCATGGACATTGCTGTCTGGTCTTCAAATTATATGGTCTCAGTGTTTTTGATTTCCAGGTCATTACTTCCTTACTTCATTTGATTCGAGTTTAGCATGTCAAGTGTTGACTACTAATAATTTTTATTATTCAGAGGAAATACAATTTTCGACCGTACCACATTGAGGATACAAGGCACATTATGTATCAAATTTGCTATGCGGTAAAATTTCTACACGATAACAAGCTGACGCATACTGACCTCAAGCCGGAAAACGTTCTGTTTGTTTGTGATGATTGTTATACTGAAAAAGTGGGAAATCTAGTAAGTTCCTCCACAAATCTCCTGTTTCAGACTGTTTTTTTAATGGTAATTGAATTGCAGGAAAAGAACCTATATATTTTGTGTATATATTCAGACCTTTCATCGACCGAAAAATACAAACGTACGGCTCATTGACTTAGGGTCTGCAACGTTCAACAATGAACACCATTCCGCCATTATTTCGACTCGTCATTATCGAGCTCCCGAGGTTATACTAGGTAAGTATTTCAGCTGTCCTATTAAGTTGTATTCGAAGCTGTTTATACTTCTTGATGGGTTTCAGATCTCGGTTGGTGGCAGCCATGTGATACGTGGTCATTGGGTTGCATATTGTACGAGCTTCATCGTGGTGCGACTCTCTTCCGTACGCACAGTAATCGAGAGCATCTGGCGATGATGGAACGAGTCTGTGGTCATATCCCTCTACGAATGATTCGCAAGACAAGGTGATCTCTTCATTAACTTCTCATTTGAATGTGGCATCTCCGTCAATTCTCCTGTGTCATGAATGTGTCGATGAGAGGCTGTGGTACATTTGAGAGATTTTTGTGCACCCATGCATGCACGGGTCGCGGTTATATCCTCAGAGCAATTTTTCCTTAAGTGAGTTAGCAGGGTTCTTAATCACAGGGGTGGCAATGTTGTCACGACTTTGGCCGATGTCAGACTTTGCAAATCGCGCGATTCGCTAGCGGTCAGTGAATCACTCAATTGGCTGGTACCGCAACGCGACCGCGGACGCTAGCGAATCGCGCGATTCGCAAAGTCTGACATCGGCCTTAAATATGCGCGACAAAGTAGCTGATGCCTTCGCTTGACCGTTGCGACCGCTGCCATTCTCATCAATTGAATCATATGCGTGTGCGTTCTGTGCGCCTGCGACCTCTCGCGCACTACGCTCTCTCTCGCGTTTTTCCCTCTGATCACAGCGCTTTGACTCTCAGTGGTACCACGGTTTACCTAACTGGAGAAATTTTAGTGTTTCTTTATGGTGTTTTTTGCTTCTAATTTTTCGCCATTCTACCCTCTAGATGCTTCATGTCTAGTGCTTGGACAAATATGGCAAAATAATACATCAATCCGATCGCGACCCGTGCTTTATCATGCTACCAGCGGGGCACCGAAGGTTTAAGTACATAACTGGGAGGAGAGAGGCACATCTTGCTATTTTGTCTTTAAAAGTGGAGCTCTTCTTCTTTTTCTACAACTTTAAGGATTGGACGATACGTTGACGGTTTATTTGAAGCACACTTCTGGGGCCGGATGTTATCCTTCCCCCAGGCTAGGAGAACAAAAAACCTCTTCAAATTTTTCTTTGTCTTCTCATCAAAAATCGCTCTGATGAAATCTATATTTGTTATGTGTATATGTGCGTAAAAACAAGCATTTGCGAAAAGTAAAGGAACTGGGTTCATCCTTTCGACGACCGCCGTTTTGCGTGCGTCACTTCATTTCTTTTAATTTTTTCATCAATCATCAAACTCTCCAACAATTTCATTATTAGTAATGAGCGCATTATTTCGCGGATTCCGATAATGTATTTGGGTAGTTTTGAAACATAAAAAAATGCAAAATAAACCACGAAAAACGAGTCGCCTCCGAGTGGAAGTGTGGCCCACGGTCGTCAAAGGGTTGAAAACACATAAATTTGAAGGACTCCTGCTCCACTAGCCTAGGGGAAGGATAGGTCAAGGCCCATGATAAGGAGAGGTGAGTGCCTGCATCCCACACATCCGGCCTACGTCTTATCCAGTTTTATGCACCCGTCGTTCACCCCGGAGCCCCTACACACTTAGGCTTGGGCAAAGTTGAGCAGTTCACTGGTTCAGACCAGTTTCATTGGACCACTGTAGGGCCAAAATGTGAAAGCACTTGGAGTTTTTACACCCTACACAGGTTTTTACCACGAGTATATTTCGAATGAGTCGATTACGTGTCATAAGCGCTCTTTTCAATATCTTTAGTATTGGAGAGCGCATTGGGTCCTTCCCCCTCCCGAACTTCACTTTCACGGTTTTGTTCCTTAAAGGAAGCGATTACGATAAAGAGGGAGCGCATCGGGGAAGCATATGCACCACACGAATCAGTTACTTGGCTGCCAGGGAAGCGAGTGTGGCGCTTTCACAACGAAAGGTGCGCTGGTTGCTGAGCAGGACTTCGAAAGCGCTCCGCCCCAAAAGCGATCCGCCCACAGTTTACTTGTTGATTTGGACGAGCTGCGTGCCAGCAGGCGCAAATGGAGCATCTCGATTGAAGCGTAGTTTGGCATGGTGCCATGCGTTGCGGTGAACTCGTTCATACGTCCACTTTCTTAGCTGTTACCTGTTCATGAGTGAAAACCAACGGCCAAAAAAGGGGGTCCCGTTTTGCGTTTTCTTGACGGATTCTGCTTTTTTCGCTGCTGGGTTACCTGTTGAAACCACCACGTCACACTAAACCCTTCTTGAATTTATCGTAACCGCTACCTTTAAACAGTGATTTTTTTATGATATACCGCTAAAAAAGGAGAGCAGCGTGAATGATTGCTTATCTATTTATTTTATCGTTCAGCATCAACCACTGAAGTTTTCTTTACGTAGTCCTGCTGACTCTTACTTTTACAAGTTCATGTTGCAGGAGGTTTCCATGTCTGCATTTGGTTTTCATGTTTTCTTTTGTTTTAGGACGAAATATTTTCACAATGACGTATTGGATGTTACTGGAACGGACGAAAGCTTTATTCGGGACACATGTGCCAATCTTGTGGTATGTATACAACATAGTAAGCCTCAGATGGAGTCGGATAAGTTCCAACGCATGATAGTATAGTGCAGCTTTTCGTATCTATCGCCTCCATCCGGAGTGCGAGTGTGTAGCAGCACCACGGCTTGAAAATGTCTTTTCTGACAGTGAGAGGTCAATTGGTCACTTCCGTCTGCAATGAGGTCTACTCTGATGAGCGCAGCTTGTCACCTTGGGGTAAAATCTGCGTTCGAAATTTACCAAATGATTTCCAGGAGCTTATGAATTGCGAGACTGCAGCGTTAGGAGGTCGTGACTTCGATTCTTTGACGGGTTTGCTCTTTTGCTCTCCAGAAACACGGCCACTGGTCTCGTAGCTCGTAACTTCACCAACACGTGCCCATTTTTGGCTGTATGAAAAGTTCATGATAAGTTTCACACATGTTTGTCCATGGGTGTCCATGGCCTCGCAGCGCACATACAGGCGTTAGGATTTGTTAGCCTTAAGTGTGAAATTCATGTTCAGGGATCAATACGGTCCTTAGCAAAATCAAGATATTGGCTTGACTTCAAAAAAGCCCTCCAACCATGGGTAAATTAATAGTGCCCACTTGTGAGGAATTCGCTTGCAATCTCTTCCTGCAGACAAGTATAGGCAAGTGTTAATGTACAAAATTTCCATAGCTATATTTGTAGCAAAGAGCAAACTCGCCAAGGAAACGATCCCACGACCTCTTGCTTGTGGGTGTGGGCCACTGTTCTGCACACTAGGTAGAAGCTCTTCAGGGAATCGCTCAGAAAGAAATTCTGAGCTCAGCGTTCCAAGACGCGCTTATTGGTATACACCTATCGCAAATGGCCGGAATGACCAGTTGACTTCTCTTTGTTAGTTAAAGGCAGTGGTCGCGATGGATTGGAAGGTGGCGCAGTTTTGATGGCGTCATCGAACGTCATTGGTGGGTAACCGGCGGCGCGCTAATAGGTGTGGTGGGGACAGCATCTTAAGGCATTTCCATCAATAATGTTCAGTGACGTCATCAGAATCGCAGCGCCCTCCAGCGATTGCCTTTAAATTGACCGGCTATTCAGTTATCTGACAAAACTCTTTCATTGAAGCGAAAAATCGAGGATTCTGACGTTGAAGAACGCGAGTTATTCGAACTGATGCACAGCATGATGCAGTTTGAGCCAGCTGCCCGTATAACAATGGCCGATGCTTTACAGAGCCCTTTCTTCGCACGAATTCCTGAGAATAAAAGGTAGGTGTGAAATTGCGAATTCACGACCTTTTTTTGATGTTAAACAGTCTATCTCTCAGGATACCTGGAATCCATCCACCTAACCCGACTCGGAGACCGGGTATCATGGACCCGTTGTATCGTGGTGCACGTGGTCGCACTGGTGAAATACCTGAAGAAGGAGAAGCAGATTAAAGTTCATGGCCCGGCCGGTGCTTCCACTACCTCGAAATTGTTATCCTACTATTAAGTGTCGCCATCAGGGTTGTTCGTTCTTGTATTATGCTTACAAAAGCTGTTGTTTCATAGACTGATCATGATTCGGGTTATATATCCTATCGTTGTTTTCATTGTGGTTTTTTAGCCGTTTTAATGTAATTTGCCTGATAAGCCACAGGCAGTTTTAGCTTCTACAAACATTATAATACAAAATTCTGATTTACTTTTGCTATAGTGTTTTACTAGGTATTATAGTTGCTGTTGCAATCATTAACCGGAACCGTCTTATCGAAGCTTAGCTTTTTAGTCTTTTCTTTCGTCATAGTTCGGTTTTATTCAGGTTCGGATTTGTACATAATCACAGATGAACATCCAAATTCATGCTGTGTTGCTATGGAATCTTATTGCCGACGTTATACAACTAATATTATTCGATAGCTCATTGCAAGGAAATGGGTACGTCTGTGTGGAATATACTCGTGAACAAAGCTAATGGGCGCACATCATCTTGTGTACTTGAATGACTATTGATTTCTCTTTGTTTTCAAGAGTTTAAAGGCACGGGACGCAGAGAAGTTGCCTCTTGAGTGAGGTAGCAGGATCCCTAATCGGAGAGGTGGTGGTACTGTTGCGGCTCAGACAAGGGAGCTAATGCCTCCGCTTGACCGCTGCGACCGCTGCCATTCTTGTCGATAATGGCATGTGTAGCGTCTGCGCTCTCTCGCTTGCGATGTCCTCTTTCGCAGTTTTTTCTCTTCGCAGCGCTGGATCTCTCCGTCATATCACGGTCGACCTCACAAGAAAAATTTGAGTTATTATATATGTTATTCTTCTGCCAACGAGGTTGTTAGGTGGAATTTTTATTAGTGGCCTGACGTTTCGACGAGATCGTCTTCCTCAAAGGCCTAAACGTGGCTTAAGGTTTGAGATTTGTCCTTTAAACCGCCAAACGCCGCTTCTCCCTAGCGTTTCTGACGGAGCGTTAAGGAGAACAAGCGAAAATCCCCGAACGAGGGAAATAGACTCACCCAGTCCACCACCGCAAGAGCAGAACAACGCCACTCCGGGTTAGTTATGGTTAGTAACTGAGGCTTACTGTGCAGTCTTTGTATAAAGGCTATAGTTCAGACCTGCACGTCTCAGTGTTTACGTCAGTAGCTCACAATGTGGTGAAAACGGCAGGAAATCATTTGTGGAGGATAGACGCTCATCGCGGTTATTCATTCTGGGATTCCGCGCGTGAATCCAGAATGCCTCAAGCGCTTTCCTAGCGGAAATCTCAGTCTCGTACGCTAAGATTTTGCACTTTACATCAAAGTCATTCCCGTGGTGCTCTTCGACTACATGCTTGCCGAGCGGTGTTGTTATATTGCCGCGCCTTTTTCCAGCAAGATGTTCCTTAACGCGTATTGCTAGAGTCCTTCCAGTTTCCCCTATGTATGTTGCGTTACACACTTGACATTCAATCTGGTAGATCACGCCACTTTTGGCGCAATCTCCAACTGCACCGTTCGGGCATATAACGCAATGATCTGATATACACTGCCTATCGTAGAGTCTATTCCGTACGAGTTGGCGTCTGATATTGTCGTTAGGAATGCTCACTAAGACAACATCATCGTCCAGCTGCGCACGGGCAAGATCACCGTTGAATTGCCGCAGTCACTCTATCAGATATAAATGGTATACATAAAGGGACCTTGTTTTGGCGTAGCACGCTCCGTTGCCCAGTGTGAGCCCTTCTGCGATGTCGTGATACAGTATAGCCGTTTGAGGCGGCTATATCAGAAGCCAATCGTATAGATTCCTGCCGTTCTGTACCACCTGGTGTCAAAAAATTCCACCTAACAACCTCGTTGGCAGAAGAATAACAACATTATAATAATATCAATGCCGAGGTTCTACGAAGAGAGAAGTTGGAGTTTGATGAACAATTTGAAGTGTTGTGTGAGGTGTTTTTCGGTTATTCCTTACTAAAAGTTTCTCTTTACACTACTTGTCTAATTTTCGAACAAAATAACGCGTCAATAGTTCGATCGCAACCTGTGCCTTTAGGTGCAGCAGGACACTGATAGAATCCCTGTTTGAATCATTTGAACAATGAGATGGCGCCACGTCTGTTGGAAAATTACGAAACAGGGATTCGCAACGGACCCTTGTTTTATTGTGAGCGCTTTGGAAACAGTTCCGGCAGGTTGTGTAGTGGCGTGCACAAAACCTTACGAGTGAGGTCATTTTGCGATGTTACTCCTAAATGCGGTAAGAGTAAGAGCTATCAGTGGATGTTCGATTTTTGCCTATAATCACTTTGAGTTGTCTGAGCCTACAGTATGACGCCGGCGGGGGCTAAAAACTGATATGCTTTGCGTAATTCAGTAGGCCTTTACATGGGTTTTCAGTGGCCTACACACAAATGTTCCTTAATATCAATAATGCTTTGATGAATAGTGGAACATCAGCGGTGTAAGTCAGGGAAAACAAAGTTGATCGTACCCTCATTTCAGGACACCCTATCTCTGGGGAGCTGCTACCAACGTTAGAAGAATTGTCCATGGTTTTGAACGAAAAAAAAAACGAAATGCCGTTGAGAGACAGCTCGTGGGGGAGCTCTTTTTTTGTGATTTTCTGTTATTTGCGTCGACCCTGAGCCGGGTGCAGACCATACACCACAAGTGACGACGGCCTCCAAAGTAAATCTGGTTAGTAGTGGTTCATAGTGATAGCTGATTTTTGGTAAATGATAGTTGTAATTAGTGACAACTGATAGAATACAAAACATTTACATTTTGTGGAGGCCGTCGTCACTTGTGGTGTATGGTCTGCACCCGACGCTCTTCTCGTTTTTTGAAAGGGTATGTATTTTCTGTGACTTCTGTAATAGAGTGCGACTGTGGATTTATGAATGTCTCAGAAAGGAGGAGCTCGTTTCTTGCATGCTCAGAAAGATGTGAGAACAGCTGCGCACCTCGTCCTCTGAACTGTACTCCATCGTAACGGAGGGCAAGTAATTCTATAAAATGTATGATATCTCAGTTCATACGCGCTATGGGCGCCCTACAATGGATGATCCATACGCTAAGCTACAGACTTTGTTAACGAGAGTCTAATGGGAACTAGTGAAAAGAAACTTTGTGCCTTTCTTCTTTGGTGCAACAGGTCAAAGTAGTTGTAACGGAGGTTCTTTCGCGAAGGAGAAGATGTCTGTTGCCTTTCTTGAAGCTGTATGATTTCTTGTCAACGGAACCTTACCTCTTGATTTGTTGTGAAATAATAGAATACCCAAAGGTTAATGGTCTACTGGGTAAAGTTTTGCTAAAATGTCAGGATTCCTATTACAGAAGGAAAGTGCGCAAGGCTCAAAAAATACCATATATCTAATGCCCCCGTGAAGTTATTTCGACCTCTCCAATCTATGAACAAGTGGTTTTCAC